GGGGAATGAACCGCCATTGACAAAAATGCAACCCCCGACCACCTAGGTCCCCCATGGTTCCCTAGGGACCCCTTAGAAAAATTGCCAAAAATCATCATTTTCATTTCGCCCACCGCACCTTTAACGAACGGCCATAATGGAAAGTTTTCCCGCCGGTTTTTCAATGTATGGTTAGCATAAATCGGAGGTAGAAGTTCCGGTTAAGTACAACGGCTGCTTTATCGATCTCATGTTACATGCATGATTTCGAAATTGTCGAGAGTGTAGCGGTAATGATAACCAGACATTGAGCAACCGGCCCTTAGGGTTGCTCAAAGCCTGGTTGACACTTACAGGTCTAATCTGCACTGGTACAGCATGTAAACAACCGCGCGCCTGCTGCGTCGGGCTCTCGCGATCCCGTTTCCGCTACACCATCTGGTCTTTGCAATGCTGCTTGTGCTGGCGATTTTTCTTCATCTCCTATTCCTACTACTACTGCGAGTGCGGCTGCGACTGCTGCAAACACCCGGCTGGAAAACTGACCCTAGACCTTATCTTTATTAGTAATGATTTGAATTTCACACTTAATGAGTGCCTTGACCCATTATCGACTCTCGGTCTACATCATGTTCCGCTTATTATTCATTTCGAGTTTTATGAGTTTAGAACTGTTTTATCGGACAGTAATCCTACTAGCTTTTGCTATAGAAAATGCAACTTTGATTCGTTATTTGCGGGGGTTGGTGTTTTGGATTGTTTCGATACTTTTAAGCAAGAAATTAATGTAATCTGTGTGGATAAAATACCAATAGTGCGTAAAAAAAGCTATAAGGTTCCCTGGTATACCAAAGATCTTAAAAAATTGAAGAATTTGAAAAACAAATTTTTTAAGAAATTTAAACTTTCAAATGCCCTATCTCACAAGGATAAATACTTGTGATACTCCAGAGAGTTTAAGTCGATGAGTAAGGTTCTTAAGCGGAATTATGTTCTTAAATTTGAATCGGAAATAAAATTGAATCCAAAGGCTTTTTGGAGGTATGTCCAGTCCAAGAAATCGTGTTCCAGTATTCCCAGTGATGTGTTTTATCATAAAATGCAGGCTTCTACTCCCTCTGAAGCTGCCAATCTTTTCGCGGATTTCTTTCGCTCCAACTTTGTGAAGGATTCGGATCCTTGTGTCGGTTATCCTCAGAGTGCCCATTCTCCTAAATCACAACTGTAATAAGGTAATTTGGGACCCCTCTAGTGAGAGGTCCAGGGCGTGTGTAGTGTTGAAGAAAGATATTGACTATTTCTGCATTACAGAGTTTTTAACACAGGATTTGGTAGCAGTTCAGACGACGCTGTCAATACACGGCAGAAGCACGGAGGTCGTCTTTGCTGCAGCCTATTTCGCGGGGGACAACGTCACCGTTCCACCCCTGGAGGTACAGCAGCTGGTAGAATTCTGTCGGAGGAAAAGGATTCCGATCATCCTAGGCTGCGATGCAAACGCCCACAATGTGGAGTGGGGCAGCACGGACACGAACCGTAGGGGTGAGTGCCTTCTAGAATACATTATTAGTGAAGACCTTTGCATACACAATGTCGGTCATAGTCCAACATTTGTTACTAGGGTTAGAGAGGAAGTACTTGACGTCACTCTCAGTAACGGATTGGCCAGCCCTTTGATCAGCCAGTGGCGGGTCTCACCAGAGCCCTCCCTGTCTGATCACAGGATTATCCGATTTGTACTGGGAGCGGAGGTCATGACAGCTTGTATAAAGAGGAACCCCAGGAAAACCGACTGGGCCAAGTACAATGAGCTACTCAGGGCTAACCTGCCTAGCTTGAGGGTAAAATACGGAAAGGTCGACTGTATAGAGGTGGAAAACAAAATAAATGAGCTGAATGGCTCCATACTGGATGCCTTTAACTCTAGCTGTCCCGTGTCTAAGCCAAAGGGGAGGTCTCAGCCTACTTGGTGGTCACGGGAGCTCTCAGTACTCAGGAAGGAGGTGCGCAGACTCTTCAATCGAGCCAAGCGCACGGGGAACTGGGACGAGTATTCAGCCACCTTAACAACATACAGTAAGGCGATTAGAAAAGCCAAGCGTAGCAGCTTCAGGTCCTTCTGTGAGACCATCTCATATACCCCTGCGGCTGCTAGATTGCACAAAGCCTTGGCGAAGGACAGTACAGGAACCAGGCTAGCCATTAGGCTACCAGGCGGCACTTATTCTGGTAACGAAAAGGAAAGAGCACTCGACCTGCTATCTGCCCACTTCCCTGATGCCATTCCACCAACCCGAGATGCGGTATTCCACGCAGTCAGGCCATCCCCATCAGACTGGAAGCTGGCTAAATGCCTAATAACCCGGCGATCAGTACGATGGGCGTTGGATTCTTTTGAAAAGTACAAAGCCCCCGGGGTGGATGGCATCAGTCCAGTGCTGTTGAAGCAGGGTGAGGAGCTCCTACTTCCACACCTTGTCGACATAATGAGGGACAGTCTAGCGCTGGCCCACATTCCCGAGGTGTGGCAAAGGGCGCGGGTTATCTTTATCCTGAAAATAGGTAAGAGGGATTATTCCCTAACTAAGTCATTCAGACCAATAAGTCTCACCTCCTTTATGCTAAAGGCAATGGAGAAGGTTATCGACAATAAAATTAGGTCTAACACTCTGAAAGAGGCACCTCTGCATCCAGACCAGCATGCGTACAGAGTGGGCAGATCCACGGACACTGCTCTGTATGCGCTGACCACAGAATACAGAGTGCCCATGATTGTACGACCAACAGTAACTTATGGAGCGGTGGCTTGGGTATCCAGGACTACTCTAGCAACGGCAAAACAGTCTCTTGCCAAGATTCAACGTCTGGCCTGTGTTTGCATCACGGAAGCTATGCGCACATGTCCGACGGCAGCGCTGGAAGTAGTCCTTTAACTGGAGCCACTGCAAATTACGATTGAACAGGTGGCAAAACGTACGCTCTTAAACTTTGCGAGAGAGGGTTTTGGAAAAGGTAAAGTGCTATCATCCAGGAACAGGGAAAAGCTAGGCTCCCAGCTGCCATTAGTGCTGTTTCCTAGGGATGATATGCACAGAGTAGTGGTCTTTGAAAGAAACTTCAAAGTCGATCTATACAGAAGGGCGACTTGGAGCACGCCTATCTTGGAGGGACAGGTCCAGGCGAGCACTTTACAGTGGTACACGGACGGCTCCAAAACCCCTGAGGGTATTGGAGCAGGAGTATATGGCCCTAGGCTGAACTCTCAGTCCCTTTGGGGACTTTCCCCAGCATCTTCCAAGCGAAAGTCAATGCAATCAGTCTTTGCACAGAGATTAACCTTCGCAGGAATTATCGAAGGGAGAGGATACTTGTACTAAGCGATAGTCAGGCGGCACTCATAGCTCTCTCATCCTTCGAGGTCAAATCCTCTTTAGTCTTGGAGTGCATCGAGAAGCTTAATGCCCTTGCTGTGCACAACACCGTCCGGCTAATATGGGTACCAGGTCATATGGGTGACACAACGCCCCGAACAAACTATATAGAAATGTTTACAGTAGAGTAAAACCTGTGCAAAATTTTATATGCTTCACTGTTATTTATTTTTAGTATTACACTAACATCAAAAGAT